AGAAGCATGTTTCTGTACCCAAAGTGGTGGAGAAAAGCCTGAAGAGTGAGCCCAGGGGCTCTGAAATCTGCCAGCCAATCAAAAGACCCTGCCAAACCTTCATTTATTTGCAAACTCCTCATTTTTAAGCAAGTTGCCTCATTTTGAGGCATCACTCTCGCCTTGTTGTACAGCCTTCCCAGGGTCAGGCATTCACAACAGCGCAGGGAAGGAGCCTGAGGCAAGGATGAGGGCCTGATTCTCATGTATCCTTCTCCACAGTAGTGCTGGTTAGAGAAGGGCTGTTGAAGATAGAGCCTGCCAGCCAGATCCATCCTACCAAGCTGCTTTATTCAGCCTACAGGGGCAGGGATTCAGGAGAGGATGAACAGGGGAGAGTCTGGATTCTTCCCCCCAGCAAATTCCTACCCCAATTAGGGGTGTAGGTTGCAGGACCCAACACTGGCATCAGCAAACTGGTTGGCTGCCTGGGGCCTAGACTGAAAAGGGACCTGAAAATGGAACCCCTATTGTGATTCTGATTTATTGTGATTCTGATTTATTGTGATTCTGATTTATTGTGATTCTGATTTATTGTGATTCATCTCTTGGTATTGAGTCCCCCTTCGATAAAGTCAGCCCGGGGCTGCCAGGAGTCTAGGTACGGTGCTGGTAGGCTGTAGGCGTGTTGGTCTAAGGCAGGGGTGGGGCAAAATGCAGCCTGTGGGACCCCTAAAAAAATTTAGGAAATTAATATTGATCTTCCCCTGGCTGCCTGTTATGCAGCCCTCGACTGCTTGCCAAAACTCAGTAAGTGGCCCTCTGCGTGAAATAATTGCCCACCCCTGGCCTAAAGACATAGGGCAGATAAGGCTCTTGGGGTAAATCCCATATCTTTTTATCGTTTGAGTTGGTCCAATAGTAGATCCCCACCAGTTTGTGCCCAGGCTATGTCGTTAAGTGGGGTAACTGGGCCTCAAACTCCAGGGGCAGGGCGGGCTGTGCGCGGGGAAGGTTTCAAAGGCAGCTCGGAGCTGCCCCGCCTCTTCCCGCTGAAAGCAGCTGGGCCGGGTGCAGCGGAGCGGAGCCAAAGCCACATCGGCTGCGTGTCCGCCAGCGGGGAAGGAGCGAGCCGGTCCGGAGCAGCAGCAGCAGCAGCAGCAGGTAGGAGCGGGCCGCCGGGAGCGCTGTATGTGACCCCCGGGGATCGGGGCTCCCAGCCAGTCCTGGATCCTGGTGGGGGGGCTCCCCTCTCTCCCCCGCCACCTCCCTGGCTGCGCTGGGGGGCCGGGGTCTCGAGTGGGGGATCGCTGATCCCTGCTGGGGAAGAGGGGCAGATCTCTGGAGAAAGTGTCCAGCCCTCCAGGGGGAAGAAGGTTTCTTGGGTGTTTTGTTTGTTTTGGGGGTGGGGGGTATAGAGAGGTCCCAGGCTTCTACGTACCCTTTCGGGGAAGGCTCTGCTGGCGGGTGCTGGGAAGCCCCCTGGCAGCAGCCCCGCTTGGGCGGAGCGTGGGCAAGGGCAGTGACGGCGATCGCGCCGCGCCGCGCCGGGGGTGTCCCGGGCCCGGGCGGCGGGAAGCCCCTGGGCGCGAGGCGGCCG